TATTCAAAGGAAACATATTAACAACCAAGACTAGCCTTGCTCCTCATTACTTAAAAGCCATGCTCCTCATTTGGTCCTCAGAACTCTTAAACCAGCTCTGGTAGTACAGGCCTATCATCTCAGAATTTAGGAGACGGGAGGGCCAGAAGGTCATGGGCACCCTTGGCTGCATAGTGATATCAAGGCCAGCCTGAGCTACATGGGACTCTCAAAGCTATACATCAATACTATTAAATAAAATAAAATCAAGCATTCGTTTGTGCCGTGTGGCTGACTAGCTCTGTCTCTCCTCTGGAAGGAGCTCACACACAGCTCTGTCCACCAGCATGAGCTATGGATCTTCTTCCACAGTGTCTCCTAAGGACAGGCTCAGGTGAGAAGCTTTCCCATGGGAAGCTCCTGGCTTCGAGTCTCAGTTTCCCACCTTCCATCTCAAAGAGTAACAATTTCTCTCCAAGCAGCCTGATTTCTGGTTGGGAAGCATATAATGAGGGCCTTATCCTTAAGCCCTCATACAGAGTCTTATAGTTAAGAAGAGGAAGGCTGTGTGGCCCAAGGATGGCTGCAGGTTTAAAGCTGTCTGAAATTATTAGTTTTTTATTTTTTTTTAAGAGTCTCATGAAGTCCAATGTGCCCTCTAAACTCAGTATGTAGCCAAGGCTGGCCTTGAACTCCTGATGTTTTTGTCTCCGCTTCCCAAATGCTAAGATTACCTGAGTGTACCCACTGTCCAGTGAGAAACACTTATAAGTGTCTTTTTTTTTTTTTTAATGAAGAGGGATGTACAAAAGATTGAACACTAAATATGCCGATCACATGCTCTCGTAGGATTTTGCGTCTTCTGGAGGCCAGAGATACTTCTAATTTAGGCCATAAACTCTAAAATCTGAAAAACTAAGCCAGCATTTCAAAAATTCACTTTTTTAAGGTTGAAAAGTGATAGTTTTGCTGAGTCTTCAAAGTTCAGATGTTCCCGTTAGTTTTAAACGGTCAGCCCGGAAGCGTTGGCGTCAGTAGGATGAGTGCCTCCCGGTCTCATGGCCAGGGTCACTTTACTGCGGCAGTGCTTGTTGGCATTCTCCATAGAGTTCGAGTTTGATCCTGTGTCCGTGTTCATACTATCCCTTCCTTTGCCCTTCCTTTCTTCTCTTGCTTTCTCTTCCCTCTAAGGAAGATTTATTTTATTTATCTCGAGTGTGCGTGTGTGTGTGTGTATGTGTGTGTGTCTCAGAGGCAGAAGAGGGAGAGTTGCATCCACTGGACCTGATGTCCCAGAGATTTGTGCGTTGCCCCACATGAGTGCTGGGAACCGACCTCCAGTCCTCTGGAGCAGCTGTCTCCACGCGTAATCACAGAACCATCTCCCCAGGCCCACTTTCTTTTTCTCACTCCCCCCCCAACATGGTCTTTTTCTATTTAGCTTCTACTCCCACATACATCTTCTTTTTAATAGACACCTTGAAGGCTGAAAACTATCACACAAGTTCAGCCAAATTTTATTGCTTGTGGGACGAAGTCTTAGGCTCCCAGAAGGTCACTTCAGGCAGTGTCCGGGACAAAACTGACATTTTGGTTTAAAGAACTCTATGCTGGTGCCAATTCCTGATTTAAATGAAAAGCCATTTCTTTCAAAACTGAAAAACCAGAGAGAAGCCCACACAGTTATTTTGAGACATCATATATAAATCACAATAGCCTGACTGGCGGGTTCTAGTTGGCAACTCTACAAACCTTGATAAAATTTATTGTCGTTTTTGAGAAATTGTTTCTTTGGCCCTCTACATGTAATTCAAGCCAGTGTCCTTAAATCAGTGGCTGGATCTGGGCTTTGTTTTGTTTTAAGCAGCTTGAATATTTTCCAGTCTCTTTAGAGGTGATTTATTGATTGAATGCAACATAAAAACTGATATTTGTGAATTAATCCAAGTTGAGAATGACTTACTATTACAGAAATGTTGGGATTGGCCTTTGCCTCTATTGATCATAACCTGAACATTAAAAAAAAATATGATTGAAAGGAAAGACAGGCTACCTTCACTTTACACAGAGACATATTTCAATCCTGCTTTCTTCCTGGGTTTCATTGTCACACACATGTACTCCGTGTGGGCAGCTCTTCTGACATGTATTATCCATGGATCATCCATTTAGCCTTGCTCTCTGAGAAGGTTTGCCACTGTGGGTGAAGATATATTTAATTCTAATGATCAAATTTTAGGATCTTACAGGAAGGATCACTGTGGGTCTCTATTATAGACTAAAATGTAAGCTAATGTAATTATACACTGCATACTAAATGAAGTGAGATGATCCTGCATAGTTATTTATTCCCTAGGAAAAAATACAGAAACATTTTTAAATGTAAAGCTAATTATATTTTCTATACTAAATAAACTATTACCTCAGTTATCATTAATTTTTTTCAATAGTTATCAAAGTTGTCATAATATTGACAAATCGAAGACATGAGAGAATGACATAAAAACAAAAATCATTTTAAGCTAATCAATACATACATCTCTGATTAATATGCTATGAAAAAATTAGCTCTATGACAATTCAGGAGGGAAAGATAAATTTTCGGGGAAGCATAGTAGATTACCAAGTAACTGAATGCAATTTGGCTACTTTTAACAGCTTACAAGATATTTTACATATATTTATTTTAATTTTATTCCTTTGGGACAAGCAGAAGATATATTATTGGCCCTATTTTATGGATGAAATAGAGAGGATATGTTTGAGGGCTGGGGCTACAGCTCAGCGATGGAGTACTTTCTTAGCATGTTCAAAGCCCTGGCTTTGCTCCCTAGCACCCTGCACATAGAAGTGGTGGTACTCTCCTGAAGTCCAAGAGTTTAGGATATAGAGGCAGGAGATCAGAAAAATAGGTTAGCTGTGGCTACATGGTGAGTTCAAGGCCAATATGGTATGCATGAGACCTTATCTTTAAAAAATGCATTGAGTCACAGCAAAAACAACTTAGGAAGTGATAATTTCAAAAGAAGTACATTATTTGTGCTTAATTTAGTGGGGTCTTCTCATAAACACTTCACTAACATTTAGCTACACCATTTTTTTTTTAATCCACGTAGGAATCATTGAGCTGGTAAATAGTTTGTGGTACAAACATTCAGGACCTGGGTTTGAATCCCTGGCATCCTCATAAAAGCTGGATGTGATGGTGTCTGGAATCAAAGCACTAAGGAGGCAGAGACGGGAGGATCCCTGGGGCTTGCTGGGCAGCCAGTGTAACCTGTCTGTGAGTTCCAGGTTCAGGGAGATAGCCTGTGTCAAAAGATAAGTTAAAGAAGGGATTGGGAAGACTTGACCTCTGAGACTTGACCTCTGGCGTCTCTATGCATAAACTGGCAGGCCTGGACACACCCACATAAAATATGAATGAGTTGAGAGGATTCAAAGGATAAATATTCAAAGGATAAATAACATGGTTAATTTTATCTGAACTTAAAGTATTTTGAAATGTTCTCCCTTCTAACCTGAAGGGTCTCTGGATCTACTTTAATTCCTTAATTACTTTAATGCTTCCGAATGTGAGGATGTGACCATATCTTAATACCCCAATATGTGAGTCACACCCTTCCACAGAACTGTGTTTAGTGGGCTCTCCAAGGGCCTTTTAAAAAGCCTCATTTCCACTGCCAGCCTCAGCAGTTTTGTGACCCCAGATAGGTTGAATGGCTTGATACCCTGATTCTCCATCTATAAAAATATTGACAGCAATCTCAGATTGTTTAACTGGGCCTCAGTGGTATTCACGAGGTTGGGTGAGGTTGTAATGTGTGGTTTTTGTTTTTATATAAATAAATAAACTTTTTGAACATGAGTGCTTTGCTTGTGTGCATCTATGTACACCATATGTGTTCCTGGTGCCGTTATTGAAGGCTGGAGTGGGGTATCAGATGTGGAGGTACAGATGGTTGTGAACCATGATGTGGGTGCTGGGAATTGGGCCCAGGTCCTCTGGAAGAGCAGCCAGAGCTCTTTTGCGTGGAGCCATCTCTCTAGCTCCCTGTAATGTATGATGTAAGGATGAGCTCTGAGCCTTTTTTCATTTTACTCTTCTTTTTTTGAACATTTTATTCTAGCAGTTACAAAGAAAATGAGGATTTAAGACACAAAGAAGCCTGTAGCCTTTCTGAATCACATAGCATCAGAGTATTGGAGAAAGAGAAAATAAGAGGAATTCTTTCCCAGACTTTAGTTTCCCCATTTTAAGAAACTGAGACTCACTTTCCCAGAGTGGCACAGCCAAAGAGCAGCAAAACTGTGCATGGATCTCATGTGCCATCCTGTCACAGGCCAGGCCATGTGACTTTTAGAACATCGGCATGTTTGGGTTTAAGAATATAATTACGTTACAATTTTTGAGATGTATTTCTTTCCTTACAGCTCTTTGAAAAAGATCTATAATGACATTTCTTTATCTGCCGGATAATCAGGTTTTATATTTTCCAGGTTATGCTAATTTACTATGGATAAAAAGACTTTTTTTTTTAACATTTAAGTATAGAAAGAGGTATCACTGGACAGACCCTCTTTTGAGAATGGTCATCTTTTTGGATTAGTGGCAGGGTTTTAGCACATGAAACTATAATGACTCAATTTCAGTGCACCCCAGAGTTCCATAATAGAACAATTTAAAATAACTATATATATATTTTTTTAATCTTACAGGAACTGGAAGATTTGATTAAAGCAAAAGAAAAGGAAGTAGAGAAAATTGAGCAGAATGGACTTGCATTGATTCAGAACAAGAAGGAGGAGGCCTCCGGCAGTGTCATGGGCACCCTGAGGGAACTCAGGCAGACCTGGGCCAGTTTAGACCACATGGTAAGCTTCTTCCCCAGACCAGCTCCCGTTCCTGTAAGACTCAGGGTCGATGTTCGCTGAAAGCAACCGAGTGAACAGTTACCAGATCGCTACATCACCTCTGGTGACTCTTTCATCAATGTCTTTTAATATACCACTTTCTCAGTTGTGCCCATCCTCATAGTCAGAGATACCGCTCAGACATAGATAATTCCCCAGTGAGACTGTCTGCATCCTTACTCTCTCCCAGAATTCTAAGTAGAGACAGAAAGAAAAACCTGAAATCAGTAGATATCTTCTCGTGTGAGCAACAGGCATTTCGAACTCCTATGCCTTAACTAAGTCCAAGTTTCTCCCACGAACCATATCTTGGTACCATCTCAGTTAATGGCAGCTCTTCCATGCCAGTTGCTTGCACAGGAAACTTCTGAAGTCGCTCCTCACTTCTTTCTTTCTCTCATACTCAGACCTAGTTCATTAAAAAAATGCTGGCAGATACACTCTCACAATAGATTGGAACCCAACCCACCTGTGCAGCTAGCACCCTGACATATGCCCCTGCCCTCTCTTGCTTGGATCATCTCCATGGTCTCTTAAGCAGTTCCCATTCCAAGAAGAACCAGTTAGAATGAAGAAGTCATCTCATAACATCGCCATGCTGAAAGTCACACAGTAGCTTCTGGTCTCACAGCGGATGAAACCAGAGCTGGTGCTGAGCTGTCTGATCCTGTCTCCTGCCATTGCCGTGCAAGGTCTTTTTGCTTTAGCCACGCTGGCCTCACTCTCCTGCTGAGCCCAGTAGGCATGCCCTGCACTCAGAGACTTTGGATCATCTACTCCCTCCTTCTGGCGTATGCTAGCTTTCCCTTGTTGGCCTAAGTCTCTGCCAGAAAAGCTCATCTCCACAAAGACCCTTGATGATGCACTCAGTAGCGTGTTGAATCTTCCAATAAGAACAGTAAGTGCCAGAGTGCTCACTGTGACTCACATCGGCCCCAGCACTCTGAGTACACACTCACACTCACACTCACACTCACACTTGCATGCGTGTATCCACACATGCACGCGTGCAGTCACACACATCACACATGTGCGCGCTCACATACACTTCACACATACCATGTAAACAGAAAGGGGGCTATTTTGGAAGAGAAAAGGGACATGGAGTGGGGAGCTGAGTAAGGGCTGTGGGGAGTGAACACTGTCAAGGTACAGAAATGAGCTCGCACTGAAATGCCAGACAGCTCCTACCACCATGGGCTCTTCTCCAGACCAGCTTTCCACTCTAGTTCCCTATTATCTTGACATGGCTTTAAATCTACTTTATTTTATACATTTCTATAAATCACCACAAAGGCCTGGGAACAACTTACCATATTGTCATCAATTAAGCATTTTGCTCACTGGAATATTGCCTTGTTAAAGACGAACAAGAATGCAGAGAAGAAGCAGGCAATGCAAACCCTCCCGCTGATCACCTCCCCTCATCTTCAGGTCTATTTTATGACTAGAACAGCCCTGCCCCCGCCCGCACCTGTGGCCTGGACCTTACATCTGAGGCAGCACTTTCTTTGTCCTGGGGCCCATCAGATAGCATCCCAACTGATTTCAACATTTTCCCTTTATGTTGAGAAAGGAAGAAGAGGGCAGATGCAAATTAATTCCTGCGAGCTCTTCCCATATTCATCCCTCGCTGTACTTACTCCACATTCAGAGGACCATGTGTGGGTTAGCAGTGACATGCAGAAACCCATGGTCGATGCGCTTTTAAGTGCTGTAGACAGAGGTAAAATTGTCTCCGGAGCCAGTAAGTACAGAGAGTGTACTTACTGCAGGAGTGGCGTCTTTGGAGTCTAAGCCGACACGCTGCAGAAACACTTGCCTGTTCATGCTTATTGCCGCACATTCACCATAGCTAAGTTAGAGTCAGCCTAGGTGTGTGTCAAGAGATAAATGGATAAAAATGTAGCATGTGCTTACTGAGTTCTATTCATTCCGAAAGATGAATGAAATTGTGTCATTTGTAAAAAGAAAAAGAAAAAAAAAAAAGGATAAAACTGGATCATGTTAAGAAAATTAAGCCACACCGGGACTAAGTTCACATTTTTTTGTCTGACTTTCATATGTAAGTAAAGTCTGTATTTCACATGCATGCATATGTGAGGGGGATGTGCAGGGAAGGTGGTGGGGAGTCAGTTTGGTACAGTATGGACCTGAACACCGATGTCACTATAAAACCCATTCATTGTTTGGTACCGGAAACATACACTGTTAAAAATTTAAAGTTAGTCCTTTAGGGCCAGAGAGCTGGCTCAGAAGCTCAGAACACCTACTTCTTCAGAGGACCGGGATTCAGTTTCCGACCCCCACACTGGGCAGCTCACAGCAGCCTGAAATTCCGGTGGTTTAGTTTCCATTAGTTTTTAGTGCCTAGAACCCCCAATGAAGCATTTCAGAGGGTAATACTTTTCTGTTCCATCATACTAAGTTATATGTGGGTATGACAAGTGTTCTTCTCTCCAAAAGGTTGGACAATTAAAGATATTTCTGACATCAGTGCTTGACCAGTGGGGTAACCACAAAGCAGCCTTTGAGGAGATCAACAGTCACATAATGGAGGCCAGATACTCTCTGTCTCGATTCCGTCTGCTCACTGGTTCCTCTGAAGCTGTTCAAGTTCAGGTAGACAATCTGCAGGTAATAAAAAGTTCATTACATATTAACATCACCTTCCATTACAGAAAACAAAAATAAATTAGCAAGTAGAAATATCATTCTAAAATATTGTCTTACATTGTTAGCATTTAATTATTAAAAATAAATGCTTTAAAAGAAAATTTTAACTTAAGTGAACCTGCTTATAGGTAACAAATACTGGGTTAGCTGATATATAAATGATTTTTTTTAACATCCTTCTATGTAAATTACCTACTTACATGTATGTTTTATGAAATGGTTGGCTACCCAAATCCACTCCCTTGACCCGCTGTCATCATCATTCATGACTTTCCTTTCTTTGCTTATCCTGCTTCCTGCAGATCTTCTAAGGAACTAGGAAACAGAGAGGAAAATAGCCAAGGTGGTAAACACTTAAACATCCGGTTTTCAGTTTGATCAGTAGAATCCCATTGGCCAAGGTGATGGCCATGCCACCCTCTTTCCAGCATTCACTGTTTTTCTGTCTCCATCAAGATCGCATCCACCCAGAATGCACCTGATGATGTTTGTCGTAAGTCCAGGTCCAGCTCACTCTTCAGGTTACCGCTCTCAGATTCATGGTCTCTCTTCACCCCCTTGCTTACCTGGATACCGTGCCCTACTGGCCTGTCCCTGTTCATTCTTCTTGGCTAAAATCCACGGACCATGGGCTGGGGAGCACAGACTCTCAAGGGATAGGGGTGCCACCAGGAGCCCAGCACATACCTTCTTACACCTAGCCCACACGTTGACCTGCGTTGATGTGTTGCTGAGCTCCCAGGTGTGCTTTCATGAGGGTGTGCCCTTTGAGGATGAATTTGAGAAAAAGGAAGAATGTGATGTATAAACATTTCTTTAAAACTTAAGTTCTTGTTGCAGTTACTAAGCACCATTAAAACTCACTGTGGAAAGAGTAAATTTAAAACCACATTTTTTTATTTTAATTTGGAGAACTTTTAAAACCACCATATTCTGTATTTATTATCTGAAGTTTGTCTCAGGATAGGTAAGGTTTATGGGACTTTTCCTTGAATATTTTGCTTTGCAAGCAATTGGATGTTGCTAAACAGTAGTATACTTTCATATCCTGCTTTCCCTTTAGGAAGAACTGAGGCTGTCCTTTGAACAGTGTTTCCAGGAAAACATGGCAGAGACACGAGACAGGGTTTCACCACAGAACTCAGAATAACCTGAAGCTCATGATTCCACTGCCTCAGCCACTTAGTGATGGGGTTATGGGTGTGTGTTGTCGCAGCGAGCCCATGGGGACAGCTTCGCTCCTGTGCTCTCGCCGGCACTAGGTAGAAGATGTCACCAGCTTATCGAATAAAGCCTCTCTGCCTTAAGTGACTTCAGCAGTTTGTAATGCCGCCCATCTGTGCATGGTGGTCACGAATGCAAATCCTCCCACCTAGCTGAAACTATTCTCCATGGATCCACATCTCTCCTTTCCCCACCCACCTCTCTTCTACCATTCTACTCTGTTTCTGCGAGTGTGATAGTTCTAGACAAGGGGTTCTCAACCTATGGGTCATGACCCCTTTAGGAATCAACTAAAATTACAGTTAAAAAGTACTAACAAAGAATAATTTTATGGTGGGGGGGTCACCATAACATAAGGGACTGTATTAAAGGGTTGCAGCATTAGGAATGCTGAGGACCACTGTTCTAATTAGATTAATTTAACCATCCTTCAGGATAAACAGAATGATTTTGAACCGTTATCCAAGTTGATTGCTCTGTGGATATGCAGTTATTTCCTGCGAGTTAAAAAGGTAGACATAGAAAATTCTTTGCATCAGATAGTATTTAGAGGCGGTCCCCAGAAAAGCAGTGATTTGCCAACTCACTCACCAATTACTGGGAGAACCACTCTTGATATTAGTGACACGGTGGCCTGGGTTTGGCAAAAAGAGCCATAGTGCAGCAGGCCATACCTGGACCGCTGCCACAGCTTCCGCTCTAGGCAAGGGCATCCGATGGACTTTTCGAAAAGAGCCCCTGTGCTGGAGAGGGCTCAGTTTCTGTGACCCCTCTCGATGCCACAGGAACAGGATTATAAGAAAAAAGAAAAGATTATCTTTTTAAAAACAGTGGAGTAACACATGTATTTCTATAATTAAACTGCTTTAAACTTGCTCATTAGAATTTAGTTGACATTGGTCATCTGTGGGACTCTTTCTTTGGGCAGAATCTTCATGATGGCCTAGAAAAGCAGGAAGAGGGCTTGCAGAAATTTGGCTCTATCACCAGCCAACTATTGAAGGAGTGTCACCCACCTGTGACAGAAACCCTCTCCAGAACCCTGCAGGAAGCCAACATGAGGTATGGGACAGGCTAATTTTACATCTTACCATAAATGCACTATCATTAAGACTTTCTAGCATTTTCAGTTTCAGAGCTATAGAGTGTACTTCACTAATGTTTTATTTTTTACAAATTGAATTTAATAATAATAAAAAAATAACCAGAAAGAGGACATTTGGAAAGGATCATTCAGCATATCAGGACTGCTAACATTCCAGAGATAGTTTTCATCCCCTCGGCATATGAGTGCGACATGGTAATCTTTACCGTGTTAAATAGACACGAGTCATTGCTTTTGTCATGGCCATATTCATGTGAGCCAGAATCAGGACAAATAAAACAGTAAGAGATGGTGTTCAGGGAGAGATGTGCTCTAAGTGGTCCCTGTTGCCTGTAGATGGAATAACTTACTGGCAGAGATTGCCGAGCAGCTGCAGTCCAGCAAGGCCCTCCTTCAGCTCTGGCAGAGATACAAGGACTACTCAAAACAGTGTGCCTCTGCAGTCCAGAAACAGGAGGAGAGCACCAGTGACCTGTTGAAGGGAGCGACTAGCAAGGACATCGCCGAAGATGAAGTCACCAAGTGGATTCAGGATTGTAATGTATGTCCAGGAACTTGTTTGGGACTTGCTGTCCTTCAGTTTCACAGGTTTTTTACTGTCAGTGTAGATGTGTTTGAGCTTTAGGGCTATCTGAATTTGTGAAAGAGTTTATGCCCTAAATCATCCCCCTGTTTACTGAAGAGCCTGCTAGTCTTACAGAGCCTTCTTGCACATGTTTAAAATTTGCGAGTGTCTTTCCCACTGTTTTATTTTTAAAAATGGCTTGTTTTCCCTACTTTTCCCTAATGGGATATAATCCATGGAGGAAAATGTAGGCAGTCTATTTGTCCTGAAATAGTCACTGTCAGATGTACCCACCTGGGGAAACCGTGCCTTTAAAAAGTCCGCTGTTAAAGATATCAGCCTCTTAGACTTCCTATCTGCTGTGGAGCATCTAGACAATAGCCTCATTCAGGAATTTAACAGCAGAGAGAAGTCTGTCTCAGCTCGCTGCTACACTTTTTAATAGCGTTGACATGATTCCCTTTTCCACTGTAGCTGCCAATAACCTACTTAGGGCTTTCGAGAAAAGCTTTTCTCTTACTCCATCCATTACTTGCCTCTTATTATTTGTCCTTATTTGTCTTTATTTTAATGATCTTTGTTACAAAGATCTTCCTAAAAGCTTTCCCAAATCGGTTTATTAAAGTCATCAACTTATAAAACAACTACATGAACACGAGCTTGTACCTTCAGTCTAAATAAGGATTTAAAACGACAGGGTTATTATGTACATTAAAGATAACCTTTTTTTTCCTGTTGACATAGTTCATCTTTACAAGTTCTGTCATCTTCAGTGCTCCTGACCCGAGGCAAGGTTAAAGGTTAAAGGGTCAAAGTTAAAGGTGCCCTTCGCCGTTCTCTTATTCAGGCCTGGCAGGGGCTGTACTCTCCGTGCTGTCTGAGTTGGACCCCAGCAGTCAGCAGGAGTGGCAGTCCCTTGTGATCTGTTAGTCCACCAGAGAGCCCACAAACAGGGAACCCCCACTGGCTCAGGGCTATGCACATATAATTGGATTTTATAAGACACGGGCTGGAGATGCCATGGAAACAGAGGTGGAGAAGGTTCCTAGCTCTGCCTGCCTGCACCATCTCTGCCCTCTGCACCTCACTGGCACCCAAGCCCTGTTGTAGCTACAGGAAGGTAGACTAATGCCCAAGGCCTCTGTAAAAATAAGTAAGAAAGGCAAAATGTATCACCATGTCTTCAGTCTGATACATTTACATACATTAAAAAGCGAGAAAAAAATGACCTAAGCTTTCTAGTTACTGCCTCATCTAGTATATGTGGTTTCTTTTCTTTCCTACTCTTTTCTTTTTTTATTTTTTCTCTCTCCATCCCTCATTCTCTTTCCCTCTTTTCTTCCTTCCTTCTTTCTTTCTCTTTCCTTTTTTCTTCTTTTCTGTCCCCCCTCCTTCCTTACTTTTCTCTCTCCCATTTTTTACTTTTGTCCACTCTTTACTTCCCTCTTTCCTTTCTTCAGTGGTTTGGTTCTTTCTTTTGCTCCCTTATTTATGTACGTTATTTGTATCTCTCTGAAGAAAATATAATGAGCTTATATGGCTTGTATTATAAACATCCTGTTTTCTTTTTTTTTTTTTTTTTGTTCCCTGCAACTAGGGAGAGGAGTTTGTGTACTCTAAGCAAATACTCAAAAACTAGGCTATATCCACAGTCTAATCAGAAGAGCATTCTCTTTCTCTGTTTCTATCTCTCTCCCTGTATGTGTGATATAAAATGTGTTGTTAAATTGCTAACACGTATAATTCATATTTTTAAAAATATTATAACCAGTCTCTGATTTTTTTTTTCTTAATGTGAAGGTACTTAGTGTAATGCTCACACAGGAATCTTGCCTACCTCTGTGTGAGGCCCTTTGCCAGCTGCTGATGGCACTGAGAACAGGAAACATGCTTTGCAGTAAGTGTGTTGTTTTCTCCCTCAGGACCTTCTCAAGGGGCTGGGCACAGCCAAGGACTCGCTTTTCGTGCTCCGTGAGCTGGGAGAGCAGCTTGGTCAACAGGTGGACGACTCTGCAGCTGCAGCCATTCAGTGCGAGCAGCTCTGTTTCAGCCAGCGCCTGGGCGCCCTGGAGCAGGCACTCTGCAAGCAGCAGGCAGTGTTGCAGGTAGGCAGCCAGCGACGAGTGTGCTAGAGACTGGTCGTTTTTATGTCTGGGGGGAAACACAGGAAGCAGATTCCTCAGCACTGACATGAACTTCCAGTATCACTGAAACATAAAAAAAAAAAAAAACAATTAAAATTAAAAGTCCCACTGGGGTCAAAGAAAGGTGGTGGTTGTTTTATACTGTTCTCTACAAATTGCTTTTAAATTTGGTTTAGTTTAGCAGGTCAGCCTCTAAATCATTCCTTCATAGTACCCAACGAGCTGACACTAAGTGGCTCCAATGGTAGAAATTCATGTGGATTTAGTAGCTTCCAACAAAAAGCAAAATGCTTACTTAGAAGATAGTTTATGATGCACTTCATGAGTTATTAGAAACAAAGACAGCCCGCATAAATGAGGAGGGAAACTTCGTCACTGCCTTGTCAGCTGAGGAACAGCTTCTCAGAAAGGATCCTGCCGTAGATGCTTGCCCTCCGCGGAGCTTCATAAACATGCCAGCCAGTGCATTTCACTGCAATGCCAGTTTCTCTTGTGAAAACACAGGCCGGAGTTGTTGACTATGAAACATTTGCCAAGAGCTTAGAAGCCCTAGAGGCCTGGATCGTGGAAGCCGAGGAGAGCCTCCAAGCGCAGGACCCCACTCACTCCTCAGACCTCTCTTCTATCGAGGAAAGGATGGAAGAGCTGAAAGTAAGTGTGTGTAATCTTTCTTCCAGGTTTTAACTCTCAAAATCTTGAGAGAGACTCACTGCCAACCACTTTCTTCTGCTACCTCCCCGAATCAGCCCTAGCTCTTCCTTCCTGGCCCCTGAGAGGAAAAAACAGTGTCTCAGTGATGAGTTGCCCAGCTCTAATCAGAGCCCTGGCAGGACTAGTCCCTAGGGACCACCATCTCCCCTCCTCCAGTCCATCTTGCCTCTCATAACTTCAGAGTCCCCACCACAGCTCTACTCTGATCTTCTCAAGCTCTGCCACCTCCTCAGACCCTTATCTACTCCTTCCCACTTCCTTTCTATAAACTACAGGAAGGCCTTTGTCTTGAGAGTTTCGCCTAATTATGTAGATTCAATCAGCCTATATTGTTTCCAAATGAAAACATCACATTAATCCCACAACTGTTTATAGTATGATTTGTCAATTAGCATTATTAATACAGCTTTAGGAGGAAAAAATATTTTATTGAATTATTAATCATTTTAAATATTTAATAAACCAAAATTTTAAAATACAGTACACTTGCAAATTTAATGTCTCTGTTGGTGTGAAATCGTCCTTGTGGGAACGGGAGCAGTGGCTCACTCCTTAGGCAAAGTTCTTGCCATGTAAGCAGGAAGGCTTTAGTTCAGATGTCTAATTCACATGTAAACAACTATCAATTCCCTCACATGCCTAAGTCTGGCACCCATGAGGTAAACAGAGGCAGGAGGATTTCTAGGGCTTGCTGGTCATCTCCTCTTGTTAAATTGGTAGGCTCTGTGTGCACAGAGAGACCCTGTCTCCAAAACTGAGGTGGAGAATGGTTGAAGAAAACACTAGATATTGACTGACTTCTGGCTTCAGTGCGTGCACACACACACACACACACACACACACACACACACACACACACGCATGTGCACCTGCACACACACAGGCATACACATAGATCCAGGCAAAAAAATCCTGTGAATTCCCAGTGCTCTTAAGAGTAAGACCATCATTACTGGCCAAGGCTGGGACTCCTGGGCTTCTGTCTTTCCTAAGGGTTCCCGTCCTCATCACTACCCATCTACTTCTCCAGCCACTGGAAGCCACACCGCTTCCAGTGTCTGTGTGCACCAGCTTTCTGCTTTCTGGATTCTTGTCCTCTGTGGCTTCCTCTCCCCCCAAACCAGTGAACTCAAGACCGTTTGGCTCAGCGAGAGTCTTTTAAGAAAGTCTGCCCCCTCTATCGGGGGTCAGGCTTTCCATTTTTATGAGTGACACAATTTTATCCTGTGGTTTATTGTGCCGTTCAGTCATGTCTGTGGGACTGGGTTGTTCCTTTTAGGCTTTCTCCTATTGGAGCAGTAACCTCCTCCCTGTCAGTGCATAAGGAGCAGGTCACATTAGTGTTGTAAATGTCAATCCATGGAAATTCCACCATTGAATCCCTTGGTTTCAAAAATCAGGAAGGTTTACTCCTTTAGGGATCAGGAGCCTTTCAAAGAGCATGCAGCACACACACACACACACACACACACACACACACAGAGAAAGAGAGAGAGAGAGAGAGTACAAAAAGTGAGCTGACATTCTGCTTCCTATAGCTGGTTTTTTTAGATAGAGCAAAAGGTCCTCACACGAAATAAATCTTCAGTTTGTTTGAAGTCTTGACTGCTGTCTGTCTGGGGCTTCTCAACTTGGAGGTTTAGGATCAATATAAGAATATAAAACCGATGCTCTTGAGGCAATGCATGGTATTTTCAAAGCCCGGGTGAAGCTGTGTTCCTTCTAGCAAGAACTGGACAATGTCTTTGTACCTGGGTCTGTCACCTAGAGCCACTTCCTGATTTCTTGTCCCTCCCTTCCTTCATTGAGAGAGGGAACTAGTGGTGCTAGCCTCGTGGGATTTGTTTTAAAGATAAAATGAGTGATTCTTTATAACCTATTATAACAATGTTTATTCATGCCAAGAGCTATATTGCAGCTGTTAGTGAATAATAAAGGGGTGTATTAGCATAAATCAATTAAGTTTAATGAGTATGCAATGAACTTTTCAGTCGTCAGCATAATTTTTTTTCCTTCCTCTGTTGTACGGAGAGTAAAAGAATCCTATAGATGAGATATTACACATAAGCTCCTACTGTGGGTCAAGGAGAACGAGTAACCGAGTACAGCAGCAACCTCAGCAGGGCACGCTGAGGGGCTCTGGGCAAGTGTTTCTCTGGGGAGTATGTGTGGCCTTGAGGAACTCAACAGAAAAAAAGCCAGAATCTTCTTGATGTCTGGCACGTGTGGTTCACAGGAAAGAAAAGAAACCTCTGCCTTTGCTGATACAGTGCTGAACTTACTTCTCAATGTCACTGACAGGGTCAGATGCTAAGGTTTAGCAGCATGGCTCCAGATTTAGACCGTCTTAATGAGTTGGGATACCGGTTACCCTTGAATGACAAGGAGATCAAGAGGGTGCAGAGCCTGAACCGCCACTGGTCCCTGACCTCGTCTCAGACCACAGAAAGATTCAGGTGAGGTCATCTCTTAATCACCCAGTAGTTTCTGTATGTTTCATGCTGATATGTGAAGAATACCACAGATGGGGAGATGTGTAAAGAGAAGCATTTCCTAAGGGCTGGGATGTAGCTCAGTTGGTACAGTGCTGGCTGGGATGTAGCTCAGTTGGTACAGTGCTTGCTGAGCAGGAAAGAAGCCTTGGGTTCCATCCTTAGCCACCTAGATCCACATCAACTGAGTGTAGTGACAAATGCCTGTGATCCCAGCACCTGAAAGGCAGAGGAAGGAAGACCAGATACTCAAAATCCTGCTCAGGTTTGTGGCTAGTTCAAGGTTTGCCTGGGAGACCTGAGACACTGTCTCAAACACAAATCAACAACAGAAAAACAAACAAGAGTATTTCGTCTTGCAGCACGAAGTCTGAGAAGGCCAAGGTTAAGGTGCCAGTAGGCTTGGTTGTCTTCCTGCTCCTCAAGGCCTCCAGAGGGGAGAAACAGCCTCTTCACATGGAAGAAAGCCAAAGTGCATGAGGGAGGGCCTGGGGCCAAATGAGCCTTTGAAACGCCCACTTGGAATGCCGTCCTAGTGACCTTTAATTTTTAACACAAGAATTTTGAAGTGGACCAGATTCAGACAACACAACCCATAATATCAAGACCACGAATTCACCATATGCATATATGTGTGTACATATGTATATGCATATGTATGTGTGTATGTGTATATATGTCCACATGTGTATGTATATATGTACATATACCTTTATATGCAAATTCTAGAACATTCTGTAAACAAGCAAAACGTGAACTAAAATTAGAAAACTCAAGCTGTAATTTCCCTTGTTTAAAAATATAAACCATTTTTTAATCATGAAAAGTGTTTCTAAGGAGATTATATTTAAAGGCTAGGTACAGTTTTAAGCATCCAAAAGGTAATATTCTGTTTTGTTTTGTTTGTTTTTGGTTTTTTTGTTTCTCAAGACAGGGTTTCCTTGTGTAGCCTTGGCTGTCAGATTGGCCTCAAACTCACCAAGATCTGCCTGCCTCTGCCTCCCCAAGTGCTGGGCAAAACGTAATATTTTAAGTGCTGATAGTTTGGGATGTTAAAGCTTCAGCACGCCACATTAATATTTGTAGTGGTCTGACCGGAGCTGAGGCGAGGACATTTAATCTAATTTTATATTTGGGGGCCGCCAAGGGGCCGCCTAACCGTCCTCCCTTGTCTGTCATCTGCCAGCAAGTTGCAGTCATTCCTGCTGCAGCATCAGACTTTCCTGGAAAAATGTGAGACGTGGATGGAGTTTCTGGTCCAGACGGAGCACAAGTTAGCAGCAGAGATTTCGGGCAATTTCCAGCATCTTTTGGAGCAGCAGAGAGCACATGAGGCAAGTTCGCAGAAACCGTTAACAGGGAGCTTCAGTGGCCGAGGCTGTGGCTCCGTGTGTAAAGGTACCCGTTCCCGAGCCCGACACCCTGAGTCTGATTCCCGGACACACGTGGTGCAAGGAGAGAACTAATTCCTGCCATCTCTCCTGTAAGCTCCACACGTGTAAACTCAACAAGCGTGTGCTTGTAGACAGCACACGCGCACATAAATAATAAAAGGTAACAAAAACTTTAAACATATTTTTAGAACTTCAGCCTTAGGCAGGCATCAGTCCAGCTAACTCAAACACTCAGGAAGCAGAGGGGGGAGGATTGTGGCAATTTCAAGGCCAGCCTGATCTTTTGAAGACATGGATTTTGTTAGATTCAATCTACTCAAATACATGTCAATTCCTCTTTCTTCTTTTATCTGGTAGTTTTCATATTTTAAGTTAAAACTGTGGTTTGGCTCTCTGTCATTGTTTTCAGTGCTCATTGTCACTATTGAAGTATAGAGAGTACCAGAATTATGGGTCAAGAGACAGGTGTGGTGGGTTTGGTGGCGCATGCCCGTAATCCCAGAACTTGGAGGCAGAGGCAGGTGGGAACAGAGGTGTGTGCGGGAGTCCCAGCTGCCTGGGAGATTGCAACAAGGTCACATGTGCCCTGCAATTCAGAGTTGACCTGGGCAGCGTGGTGAAAACCCATCTCAAAATAAGCAGTCCTAACAGAGGAAATAATTAGAAATCTCAGTCTTTCTGTGGAGCTTTTGATTACTTTTGCTTTCATTGTTTTCAATCTAGTGAGAATTGAACCTAGGGTCTTGCACATAATAACCATGGGCTTTATGACTGAGCCACACCTCAGTCCCTGAAGGATTTTTTTTAATGTTTTATGCACATAATGAGATGATTTTTACCTGCTTGACTACATTAAAAAAACAGTAAGATTTGAAAAAGAAAAGAGCAAACTACAAATTGTAAATTCATCAGTGTACCTTGTTAGGTTAATTTTTAATGAATAAGGGGGAGGGGCAATAAGGCTATGTTTGTCTCCTAATTAAAACTCTAAACTAAAACTTTATCTCTACATTTATCCTAATTGGCAATTTAAAAAAAAATTACTCCCACACTGCAGATGGGGCTGAATATGTTTTTTGTAGCCCTGCTAAAAACAAACTGTGCAGTAAGTTATCAGAAGAAATTGGGGATTTTAAAGTGTGTCCCTCTCTTTCAAATTGCAGCTGTTTCAAGCTGAGATGTTCAGTCGTCAGCAGATCCTGCACTCCATCGTTGTTGACGGCCAGCATCTCCTAGAACAAGGTCAAGTTGATGACAGGTAGGATCTTCAATAAATTATTATGAAGAAAGTTCCCCCAGTAAATTAGTCATTTTCTTCTTAATAAGAGATTAGAGGGCACATATCCAATCTTCCTAAGGCAATTGTATTATCACGGGGCCTCTGTAATTGGAGGAAAGGCTTGTCGGAGTCTCTGAAAATGAGTGAGCATTGAATCATGGCAGACGATGCTATTATCTGATATGAAGGATGTAGGGTAATTGGAAATCACCTAGCCAACCTTCCATAGTCCTGGAGGGACTGGAGTTAGTGAATAGATCAGAGAGGATTGTGTCGATGGTCAGTGAACAGATGCTACTAATATCCTCCTGCACTTACTAAAATTTCATCCCTAAAACGAGCAGAAGGATCACTAGTTCAGCCCTGACTGAGAGATGAAAAGCTCCAGTAGCACACAGGAACTGATTTGAGCGAGGTCGCATAACAAAGTGGGAGCAAGATCAGGCTTGATGCGAAGGGTGCTCTACGCCCAGGGCTGGCCTCTTTCTAACCTAATAACACAGACCAGAGGTCTGGGTCAGAAAACAGTTTTCCAAGCTAGGTGTGGTGGCACACACCTTTAATCTCAGAACCTGGGAAGCAGAGGCAGGTGGATTTCTGTGAGTTCCAGGCCAACCTGGTCTACAAAGCAATTTCAGGTCATGCAGGACTATTACACAAAGAAACCTCATTTTGAAAAAATTAAAAAAGGAAAAATAAAAAAGAAATAAGTTTGCTACCTTAAATCACACCATGTTAAATGTGAAATGCTGCCTCCACACCCCAACACATACACTCTTTATTCAGAACGCAGATGTGAGACTCTATCTTCTTTCCCGCATGTGAGTGGACAGCTTCATGTCTACATTTCCTAGGAACTTATCTAATTTATCACTTATCTAATTTCCATGCTTACCTTGGGGAATTGAGTTTAGTACCTATGTATATATTTCTCATTCTCAGGGCCAGTATTTGTGATTATAATTAACAGCATAGCTTTACATCACTCAAAAATCAGTAATTTTTATTAGAAGTTTTATGTTTGGTATTTTCGAAGCAATTTCAGCTTTCAGTGGTTATTTCTTTGAAAGCTCATGAAAGATTTGCCTGCTTAAGATTGGAACAATAATAGGTGACCCCATACTTACTCTGTTCTAAGCAAGCCAAACTTAAATGTGAACATTACTGAGAATTTGAGGCTCTCCAAGTAAAACAATCTCAAATGTAATTACCTTTTATCTTTCGCTTTATCATTCTGTAGCCAATTCTTCAGCAGTATTATAAACATTCAAGTCATTAAGTAAAATAAAGTTTAAAATTCCCATTCAAGCCAACATCTATTAAATTTTAAATGCTAACATTTAGTGGGGGAGGGACACAAAAGAGATGGAATAGGAGAGCTAGGGCTAAATAAAAAAATTCTGAGAGTTGCCAGTGGAGAGAAAAAAAAAAAAAAAAAGACAAATTGGCTCAGAGTCTGTGGAAGCCAGGAAGGTTCCAGACAAGGATTTTTGTTATAAATGTCCGCTTATGGGGTTTTGTTCTTAAAACTTCAGCTTCTGCACTGGACAGAGTCACCTTCAGTAGCTAATCAAGGGCGGATAGATCAGGACAGTGTACACAGTAAAGACAGGGCTCTCAGGAGATCTTGAATGTCAGGTGATGTCTGCATTTCTTCATGCTCTGCTATTGTCAAGGCTTGGGGGGCACACGTTTTCTGAGGTGACAGGTATCTTTTTAAGCACATGTCATGAGTCTGGCTTCCTGTGCTTGGAATTGACTGTGATATGTGCCTGTGGGACACAGGGCAGAATTTCTGTTCATGAGCAAATGTGACCATCAGAATCTTGCCATTGCCCCATGGAACTTATTTTTAAAATGAGTGTAAACAATTCTTTTGCTGGCTTTTAACCCAGTGCTTTTAATGTTTCATGGTGGTTAATTGACTTTCACTGTTCCATAATCATTTCTTCCAATTCAGTCATTTGTTAAGTTCTTTTTTAGAAGTGGCGACACATTTGGTTGTAAATTCAAACTTTATAGTCATCTCAGATAATGTCTCAGTAATACAGGGTCCCACAGCGTTGTAGAGTTCTAGAGTTGATCAACAATCGACCCCAGAGAGCTGATTCAGGCGGCAGCAGAAATGTAAGCTGTCCCACAATCCGCCAAGTAACTCATCCCATTTGTTGCCTGACACATCCTTATTAAAAGCCTTTTCATAGGCTACAGTTTGCATATTAAATAAAACTTTATAAAGTGGTAGTAATGCTTTTCAGTATGAAAAATAGGAAGAATGTATTCAAACATCCAAGATTCCTCAGTGTAAAGTTGAGAAGGTTCAGGTGAAACTTACTATCTCTCAGTGTGAACGACCTTCATACATACTGTGTTGACTAAGTTCATTTTTCTAGAAATGTGAAATTCACTTGAAATATGTAAGGGACAGTTTTTAATAATAATTTTCTTGAGATTGGAGTTGTCTCTTGTGAGGGAATATTGAGAGTGTTTATAAAGAACACTTAAAAAAAAGAAAAGAAAAACCAAAAACCTTTAATACACTGTAACTTAAATGACTAGGTTTCGGTTTTCCAAAATGGTGTATGATCCTAGCTGGGGAGGGGTTTGTAGGCAGGTTTCCTGTCACATGCTTTCCTGTTGTAAGGCACAAGGCACTGTCAGGGGCTTGTGAGACACCCCCCCTCCCCCACATACTCAGGGAAGGAGTATATGATAATTACCATGGATTTGTTTTTTATTATCTGCTCCAAGATATGAAAACACTCAGTATTGCAGACTGGCAGTCCAGCTTTAAAAATGACTTGCAACTTGCGACCCAGCAAACAGACCATGGCTCATTTGAAATCCCCTGTCATAGATCATTTCTCTTAGGGCATACCGTTTATGGAAAATGTGTTCTGGCTGATGCTGTGGCAGCATCCAAGACAATGGGTTTTTCACTCGCAGTTGTTTCTTTCCCAGGGACGAGTTCAGCCTGAAGTTGACGCTGCTCAGTAACCAGTGGCAGGGAGTGATTCGCAGGGCTCAGCAGAGACGGGGCATCATTGACAGCCAGGTTCGCCAGTGGCAGCGCTACAGGGAGATGGCAGAGAAGCTCCGTAAATGGTTGGCGGAAGTGTCTTATCTGCCTCTGGGTGGGCTTGGAAGCATCCCAGTGCCCCTGCAACAAGTGAGGACCCTCTTCGATGAAGTGCAGGTGAGAGGCAAGCACAGGGGCCACACGCATCGTTTTGCATATCCGCTGCGTTTGACCGTGGCCTTGGTTCTCCAGATGGACTCTGAAGGGACCTGAAAATCAGGGTAGACATTCTTAATGTTCAACTGAAATATGCAAAGTGAATATGTTGCAAAGCTCCTATGGAAAAAAAGGAGATTGGAGCAAGCTGAAGCTGTGCCAAAGATTCCTCTACTTTGTATACCGAGGCCCAGAGCAGTTCCTTGCAGCTCAGCTTGGATGAAAAGACAAAAAAAAGATAGCCTGGTGTTGCTCGGGGAGATTTAAACCTCGTCTCTCAGCGCTGTTAGCCTGTCCACGTATGTTCGTGGCCCTTCTTCCTTTAAAGGCCTCACCTGGCAACTCCCTCCTCCCAGTTTCCCCAAGAAAAGTCACATGGCCTCAACTACCCACCCAACAGAGAGGGGAAAGTGAGTTCTTCAGACCATGTTCCGTTCTGGGGTTGTGTTCATATAGCTGGCCACCTTTTAGACTTATGTGTGTGTGCGCAGAGCCTATGACACCAGACCATCTGGATCAGACCTGGACCAGACTGCCTCCACACTGCAGGTCCCCAATCAGGAAGTGTTCTAGCTATACTTTCTGACTTGTTGATCCAGGATCCTGAGACTTACTGTACAGTTTTCTTCTTCCTTGTCTCTCACTCCCCATGCCCAGCCTCCCATGAACAGCCATCTCTGTGGCCACTCCCTCAGGAGTTCCTGCCTATGAAGACAGTGGCCTAACTGGTCTCATCATACACACTGGATGCCTTCTTCATTCCACTTTCTACTCGACCAGTGAATACTGTAGCTTCTAGCCAAACACATCTGTAATGGCTTAAAAGCCAAATCCCTACCTAGGTGTGGTAGCATGGCTCTGTAATTCCAACAGTTAAGAACAATTGGCTGCTTTCCCAGAGGACCCAGGTTTGATTTCCAGCACCCACACTGCAGACACCACTATCTGTAACTTTGATTCCAGGGCACCTGATGCCCTCTTCTAGTCTCCCTCCGGCACTGTGTACACACAGTATATAGAGATGCGTGCAAATAAGGTACTCACACATCTAAACTAAACTTTAAAAATTCCAAACTAAAAAAAAACTAAACTAAGCTTCAAAGAATGCAGGCTGTGTTGCTACCATTCTTTCACATACACTTCATAGTCCAGTCACAGAAAAGTCTGCTGTGTTTTCTGAATTCATCATCGTTCTCTTACATGGTTAATGCATCCCTCCTTGTTTCCCTTTAGGAAAAGTGTGACCTTTTCCTGGTCATACTCATTTCTTCTTAATCTGATTACATTCACATGTCTTTCAAGACTCATCCAGCCTTGACCTCTTTGAGAGACCTACTGTGTGCACCCATGCTGGGACAGATGTCACTCTGTGATCTCTGGGCACTAGTCTTATAAGCAGAATTCAGATTGCGTTGAGATTGTACTTCTCATCCATTTCCACTTGGTCCATTTAAGACGCTCTTGTTGGGTGCAAGTGCGTGAAGTATACACACTATGTGTATATGTGTTACGTGAAGTATACACATAACGTTATCTAGGTGTGCTTGTAATAGTGAAAAGAATAAAAAGTAAAAGGCCTGCTCCCTTTCAGTTCAAAGAGAAGGTGTTCCTGCGCCAGCAAGGCAGCTACATCCTGACGGTGGAGGCGGGCAAGCAGCTTCTGCTCTCGGCGGACAGTGGCGCCGAGGCCGCCTTGCAGGCCGAGCTCACAGAGATTCAGGAGAAATGGAAGTCAGCTCGCACACATCTGGAGGAGCAGAAGAAAAAACTGGCTTTCTTGCTGAAAGTAAGTCCAGGTTGGAGGCCCTCTTAGGAGTCGAGCTATTTGCTCCCATTGTTTCACTGCGGCGCGTCATGATAGATCATTGAGCGATGCCCTGCAATGACTCTCCTCTGTTTTATTTAAGACTCTGTCCTATCTTGCATGAACTGGAAGAGTTTCCCAATTTTCAGCACTCCATCTTTCAGGAGAACCCCTGAACTAAGTGATTTAACCTCTAATAAGGCTGTCCAAGTGATTAATTCTGATTAATGGCCAATGCGATGCCTTGAAGCTTGTGGCAGCTGTGGAAAGCCAGGCGGAAACTCAAAGAGTTTCCATTCCCTAAACTGTAGCCTCTAAATGGTTTTAAAGATTGGTATCTCATATTTTATAGCCTGGAAAAAGCTAAGCCAGAATGAATCTCTTGATTTGCATGGCTTAGCTAAGCAGGCTGCCATTGGCCAAAGGTCTCCACAAGGCATTTGAGGCTTTTTTGTTGGCCACAGACACAGTGAACCTAAAGACACTGAGATTTATCCATATTGCCTGAAATGAACTTCTCTTTCCCATGCCCAAACTATTTATAATCTGTCTTGAGTTCAGTAGTTAAAAATGTATGAAAGGTTTGTAAGGAAACTCATGATTTTGTATAATTAATCTGTCCTCATAAAAAAATGGGGGAAAAAAAAGTATATGCCCTAAATTTAGCTAAGGCCATGTTGAAAACAATAGGTTTTTTTTCCCTATCTTCAGAATGGGTATAATTCTACCTCATCTATAAGATTACTGTGAGGATTTGTCAAAGGAACGCCAGGAAATCATGGATGCTTGAATTGCAGCAGTAGCCATTAACACTTAAAACTTGAACCAAGAAATATTGCCGTTTTCTATATGTTGACAGTCATGAATTCTTTTTTATTATTAAGTACAATGTACCATCTCTTTAGATGGAAGGAGATAAATCACAGTATTTGAGTAGATTGTTTTATTGTTTAAAATATTCAGACTCATTGGATTCACTTTGAGACTCTTATACAATATATATGTACATTTTACACGCACACAAACACACACATATGACCTACTGAATGGGAAACACTCAATCAAAAATACACTCACCATGTATTAGGTACCACTATTTGCTTACAAAACAGTTCACTGGTAACATAATATGCCTGAGTAATTTGTCATCATCTTGATGTCAGGCAAGGAATTAAAACTTTGTGACTCACTCTGGTGAGACTGCGTTAATCATATATAGTTTTTATTCGTGATGCGGTTTTTGGAGATAGTCCCAAGATGTAAGAATGCATGGTGTGTGAGTCACTGAATTTGCTTATCTCCTCTGTCAGTCTATGTATAAAACAGTTGCTCTGATGGACGGTTTGCAGAACAGTACATGGCGTTAGTTCCTTATTAGTGGTGGCTTCGCTATCTAAGTGATCACTGGAGAGGGCAAGATCTGCTCTTCTCTTGTCAGGATTTCTTTACTTTTGAACCATATATTATGTTCTGTTTGCCCAAGAAAACCTTGATGGATCAGAAATTTCCTGTTGACCACCAGCCTTACTTTACTGTATCTTACACTGGTATGTGACAATTTTTCATCTTTAGCTATTATGCTAATGTTCTGGGTATGTATGTCCCAAGTAGTCATGGTTTTGCCTGCTTCTTTAATGTCAGTTTTGTCCTAAGGAGTGACCTCCTCCACGTCAGACCTGTGCACAGCCGCTGGCTTGCATTGACAGCATTAGGGCCTGTGCTGATTTAATTGAAAATGTTAGCTCTAAGCAGAGAAGAATTATTTGCTCACAAATCATGTCTATAGTACTTAGCATTGGCAAGCACAATGACACCCAGAATATTGCAACATGGAGGGGAAGTGGACCAAGTCTCAGCCTTGTAGACAGTTTTGGTTTGCAAGGCCTCTGTTGGTGCTAATTAAGGAGAGAAGGCAGTGCTGTGCTTCTGTGAAGTTCCATGAGGAGAGGTTAAAGAGGAATGAGAACCTGGATTCAAACTCTCAGAAAACAAGACACTAGTTCAAACTTTCCCTCCTTGCTGTTTGGAGAAAGATTACTGTGGGTAGCTAACAAGAGCATGTCAGGGCAAAGACAGGTGACGACGGGAGATAATGGGAAGGAAAAGGAACCAAGCTTTGGTACCATGTTCGCTCTTGGAAATTCTAGCTTTAATAGCTAGAATAGCAAGTGTCTTTGGAGCTGAGTGACTCATGTTTGGAATGACCACGATGAAGCATGGTGGCCAGGATGGACGATATGGGAGAACTGGTCAAAACAGGGTGTTTACTTAACTGAATGCTATTTGACATAGTACTAATGTACCAGATACGAGTTAACTTACAAATCGGGCACTCTAAAGGATCAATATGCAGTGTAGTTTCTCCCACTTTCTTTTTAATTAAAAAACCAACAATAAATAAATGTGCCATCAAGAAACCCCAGGCAATAGTTGAGGTATAGAGCATGAAAACTGAAGTCTCGGTTGCAGCACTGTCCCGAGATGGCTGCCGTTCCTCAGAGGTAGCTCACGTTTGGTGTGTCACATCCCAAATAGACAGATGCTGTGCCTCATCTTCCTTGTCTTCACCGAGAGACCAGCACGCTCTGGGCTGTCCCTCTCTACCACTCAATCCTGCACACATCATGAGACAGACGTTTCTTCCAGCTCGTTCTGAGTGGGTGTTTCTGTGCTTACATTTAGCCCTCCAGACACGTGTCAGCGGGAGTGAGGTAGAACCAGGCAGGCACCATATTTACAATTCCCGTGTCGGTCACATGGTTCCACTTCTGCAGTTCTCAAAGCGTGGGTGGCTTGTATTTGTGTATGGAGTGTGTCCGAGTTAAGGTTATATCATTTTTATATCATTTCTCTTACTAACGCTTGTTTGGATTCTAAGCAATTGTTGTGTCCTTTCTTATTTTCACCCTCATGGTGCATTTTGGGAGAGGGTAGGTAACAGGTGCAGTGGCATGTGAATTAGGAGAAGTGAGCTGTCTTCCCACTCTGCAGAGTTTGATTCAGAGACCGGGTTTAAATACCCACAGTCCCTTTGGAAATATATTTTGCTTGCTTGGTGACTTGATAGTCATTGCTTACTTTAATTCCTCAACAGTTGTAGAATTTATTTCTATTTTCCCAGGGAACACTACAGCATAACATACTCCTATCTGCTTATTAGGGTCAAACAGCTGACAAATAACAGAGTCAAGTTAAATCAGCTCTTATGATGACAAAGGCATGATGTCCCAAATGGCAATAAGTGTGGACATACCTTCCCACAATTCATCAGTGTAATTATATCCCTGGCAATTAAAAAGAATATTTATTTTCTTTATTTTTATTTTCATTTTATATTTTTGTAATTCCTCACCCCCCAAAAAATGTATACAATTTCTTTTTCCTTCAATTATAGGACTGGGAAAAATGTGAGAAAGGGATAGCTGATTCTCTGGAAAAACTGCGAACTTTCAAAAAGAAGTTGTCCCTGCCCCTACCAGAGCACCATGAGGAACTGCATGCTGAGCAGATGCGGTGCAAGGTACGTGACTGGATGGAGACCATCCTCATCACTCTAGCCATGTGCTTCTGCCCATGAGGTCACATCTCAGGAAGACTCCTGGGGCTGTGAGCACATATGAGGTTCTGGGAGAGCCCATTAGGGCAGCCTGCTCTGCAAAGATACTTCCTTTGCCCATTTATTGCCTTTGTAGTTTATGGACTAGAGGAAGAAAATGAAAAGTTCAACACGTGACATAAAAAATAATTGAAAAGTCAAGTCAAGAGCAATAAATAGCAATCCTTCTGAAACGTCCACACTGGAAAATTGTTCTAATAAAAGTCTGTCTGTGGAAAGGAGGATAGGATTGGCATCTTGGAAGCCCTGCAGATGGTAGCAGAGAAGCACACCCTGCCTGGCAGACCCCTTGTACAAAAAGCACACACACACACACACACACACACACACACACACACACACACACACAAATAGCTGATCTCTATCAAAGTGAGGAGTCACTCAGTCCTTAAATCCCTCAGGGCTTTAGTCGTCTAAAGACTGATTGCTACCTCTGATCGTAATTATGATCATCACTTCTAATTGTACTTGGGAAGCAGTCAGGAGTAACACAGACCACTCCCTGGATTATGAGGTCACGAAGACCAGCATGATTTAGTGGCTGTAAGATTTATTCTGTGCACACCTGTGTAGCCAAGCAGAGTCCCTGCCCAGCAATTTTCGCCTGAGTAATATGCTGATCATATCAAAAATGACTTCATAAATGATTTTCTTTCAGCATGTCCATTTCCTGTGTTTCCACAGCCAATTTTACATTCCTGCTCTATGACGATCCTGGTTAAAAAGTTGTCAGAGACAGTCACTGAAATTCAAGAAAGGCAGCATTAGCAAAATTAAACACTGACACACATTGCACCGAAGATGGCGAATAAAGAACCTCCGTATATTACACTAAGATGCATGTGAATGCTGGCTGGTGTTGTGGCATTCAAAAAGCTGAGGCAGAAAAGCCCTGAGTTCAGGGCCAGACTGGGAGCCATACTAAGTCCCTGCCTCAAAAGAGAAGTATGTGAAGGCTGTGAACATCGAGAGGCATTTAAAGCAGCGTTGTTAAAGAAATCCTGGATGAGCAGCAATGGACATGCCCTAATCCCAAGCTCCTCCAGCATGCCAGTGCTATCTTATCTGGCATGACACGGGCTCATGGGGGATATTGTTATTTCCCTTTTGCTGGATGAGAAAATGGAAGGTTCTAGAATAACAGTTTTGTCTGAATTTAGAGACTGTATTTTAGCCACACTGCTGTAGCTAATGTGGAGAATCTGAACCAGTGGGCTTGGTGTGTGTGTGTTGGTTTGGTTTTAGAGAGGGTTTTACTGTGGAATCCAGGCTGTCCTCAAACTCACAGAATTCCCATAGCCTGGCTTCCAGAGACAGTGCTGGGATTACAAACAGGTGCCACCACAGGCCACTCTGTTTCTCTTTATATCCAGAAAGTAAATGTGATGCTTGGGTTGCGAGGTGGATCAGGCTTGATGTTAGAAGAGCAAAGTCTTTACACTAGTCTAACAGTTTAACCTGTCTAAAGGTGTAGATGGAACGCTGTGCATTTAGTCACCTAGATGGTTTGATCTTTCAGCCAGTTATTCTCATTTTGAGACTGCATTGTCATCTTCCAAAACACTTGGACAAGTGTCCCACTTTTGATTTTGGAGATCGGAAGGATGTGTTTCCACAGAGCTTCATTATGCTCTTTCCCAAATCACTCTCAGCAGCAAAACAAAGCAATTATCCGAAAATTTCAGGCTAAAACCTTGTTTGCTTAAATTGCCTGCAAAGTTAGCCTCAGATAGTACCGTTAATTACTTTTGCCTTTGGAAACTTGTCTCTTGTGTGAAGAGACAAGAAAGACAGAACAAACCATATGAAATTCTCCATTCATGCACTAAGTGAGTTGGAATCTAAAAACAACAGCTGGCAGAGAGCGGGATTGACACAAATTACAAAACTGGTCACCTGTCGAAGACTGGCAGAAACATCTGCTCATTCAAATTTTGTTGCAAGGATTTTTTTTTTCTTCTTTCAAATAATGCCCCAAAAGGACAGGTCCATAATCAATAGTTCAATAAATCTGATCCAACATAATGTGTGGTTAGTGGATTATTTTGGATGCAGAAGAAACTGTGTCAACTCAGCCTGTCATCAAAATGAAGCTGGGTTTAGAAAATTGCTCTTTTAAATATTGCATTGTTGTGATTGGGAATGGGATAAAACTAGAGGGCGGCTAAGGGATTCTGAAACCAGTGTAGATCTGTTCATGGTCTCAGGGTAGTAGCAGGATGATGCAAACTTAGAATAAAGAAGGCCATTAAACTGACAAACTTGGATTTGGGAAAAGGGCACCATCCTAAAAGCCCAGGGAGGTGATAGGAAGGTCCTGCAGGGAACCTTGGTATTATATTGGAAGAATTCGGCAGGCTTTCAAGCTATATAGGATGCAAATAAAACAGAGCTCAGGTTTGGTATTTCAGAAAGAGTTTTTAGAAAGGGAACTGTAGTAAGGGAGGTCACCAAAGCCCCTTCAGAGGGTTAAAGGTGGATGGCGTGGGGGCTCATGGATGCTTGTCTCATGTAGGAATTGGAAAACGTGGTTGGGAGGTGGACGGAGGACCTGGCAGAGTTGACACTGCTGAGGGATGCCCTGGCTGGCTACATCAGTGCTGAGGACATCTCCATCCTGAATGAACGCGTAGAGCTTCTGCAAAGGCAGTGGGAAGAGCTTTGTCACCAGGTGAGCTGTGGTCAGTGAGGAAGTAGTTCCTCCTAATGGGAGAGTGGGCGGTGATCCAGGAGGCCAGGGAGGCTTGATCCACGTCTGGACCTGCCCTGTGACTCACTGTATAGACAGGAACCTGTGGTCATTGCCAGAATATTTCAGGGTAAGCTGTATCATCACAGTATACTTTGGATTCATCTATACTGAAGTATTTCTTTCTTTCCCTGGCTGGCATGAACTGTTGTACATTTTCAGCTGGGAAAGGACTGGTGGTGTGTTCTGCATTTTAACCATGAAGGAAACACATTTTAACACATGAAGGAAATACTTGATATTCTAGAGGTAGTTTTATTTGTGGAACATTTACAGCTGTTCCTTAGTAATTCGTGGGTGGACGGCATTGTCAGGCTTACGTTATTTATTAAATGCCTTCTCTGTGTATAAGACGCTAAACGAGATTGTGACTTAGGCCTTGAAGGGGAAAGACTGAGGAAAAGGCGGCGAGAAAGTGTGGAGGGCGAATATGAGCATCAGGTAAAGGTCCGCAGTGAAGACTCCTGGCTGCCCTAGAGCCTGGAGCCGAGCCAGCAGGAGGCTCTGCGCCTTGCCCTTAGGGATGTGCCCTGAGTACTGGGCCTGCCACATTGCAGGCCATGTCACACCCTGAGCACCACGCGTGCCACACTGCAGGCTGCCCACACATTTGTTCAGAGGGTTGCTCATTGCAGTTATTGTCAACATAGGCTCTAACTGATATTTCTGCCATCGAGTTTATAATTGCGCTGAAGATAAAGGCACCCTAGAAAGTTCTGTGCAGTTATGAAGAAAAGTCCATATGAACACATGGAAACAGTACATCTTTATCTATGTACTGGCTAGAGGAAATGCTTCTGGAAATGGGTAAATCCTAGGTGCCGGGGTGGGGCGGGGACACATACATCGCTGATAAGGTTGAAGTGGAGGTTGAGCTGGAGAGAGGTAGGTGTTAGAAGGTGGGAGAATACGCCCACTTAAACTCATATTTCCTTGCTCCTGTACCAACTACTCTGCCTGCTATTTCTTCTCTCTTCATCCTCCCCAGTTAACCTGGCATTTTGGATTCTTAAGCTCATGCTTCTGGAACCATCCAACAGAGTTTGAGAGGCCTGCTTTGTGGTTTATTGATATCAAGAACCAACTTGTTCCTTGAAACAATTTTCCCAGATACTTAATATAAACCCAGACTTTGTAAGGGGAACAGGGACTGTTCCTGACATGAACTCAATGGCAGGCTCTTTGACCTCCCCCCCCCAGGGAGGAGTAGCCATGCTAGGCCACATAGGAGGACTTTGCAATCAGTCCTGAAGATACCTGATAAACCAGGATCAGATGAAAGGGAGTGGACTTGGAAAGGGTCAGGGAGGAGATAAGGGAGGAAAGGTGGGATTGGGAGGGAAAGAGGGAGCAGGATACAGCAGGGATACAAAGTTAACAAACTGTAACTAATATTAAAAAAATAATTATGAACTAAAAAAAATAAATAAATAAACCCAGACTTTGCTCACATCATGGGTCAAAGGACTGTTCACTCACCTGCTTAGAGTGGTGTTTCACAACCCCCTATGAATGTTTTCCTTGCAAGAAATGGCTGTCACCAACGTGTTAGCATTTTGTAATCAGCATGTGAGTGACCACTTTTCAGAGTGCCACACACACAGTGTGGACAGTGAGGAACCTGAAAAGAGCTGTTCATGGAGAGCGAATGACTGTATCACTCATCACACAAATGATTTCCTGAACTCTTCAACATGTAGACATCACCACAATTGCCCTGTTATAATATCTAGGCCTTAGCATGACACACATATAAATGGAAGGTATTTTCTGGGTACTGATAATGAGAAATTAGGACAGTCTTGTTGGTTTGCCTCTGTGAGTCTGCTCACTTCTTTTTCTTTCTTTCTTAAAAATTGTCCCCTATGTCAGCAGTCTTTCTTTTAGATCTATTTCTTTATGTAGTTATTCTATATGTATGTGTGTGCGCGCCTGGGTGTGTGTACATACGCTGTGTGCATGCGAGGATCACGCTGAGGGAGATCCTGGGAACTGGAGTTGGCGCAGAGCACTGTGCTGCCCTGTGGGTCCTGGGAACAGAGCCCAGGTCCACGGCAAGACCATTGAGAACACTAAGCACTCTTAACTGCTAAGCCGTCTCCCCAGCTCCCTAGTCATCATTCCCTCAACCCTGAGGGAAATCTACAACTGCTTTCCTTCTGCATGTTTTTCAGTAAGTAAACAAATTAACTCATTTCTGTAGCTGATACCTACAAAGGCTTCAGAGAGATTTCCCTTCAGATTCAAAATTCTCCTCATTGTTCCTCATGCTAAACCTTCACAGCATCCCTTCTTGGAGGCCTTGGTCATGACTTCTTGCCTTGAGTGACTACTTCTCTTCTGGTTTCCCCACCTATTTTCTTTCCCCTCCTACACCCCTGTGCAGTCCATTTTGGCAGTGTTCCAACCTTAGCATGCCCACAGCCCTGTACATTCCCAGTTCCTCCTTGTTCGGTGCTATGAGGGAGCACAGGACAGAGCACAGAACAGTCTTCTCTTCTGACTGTTTGAAGTCTGATTCCAAGGCTTTGAGGCCCTTAGATGCAAAGTCTATTTCTTTGAACAAGCTAGTACCTACAGCAGCTAAGAGTTCTTTGCATATGGCTAATCATGAAGGCCATGTAATATGTTCTAACATTTACGTTCCCCTGAGAATAAAATAATGACAAAGTTTTAATATTTTATAGATGAAAAATTATGGCCCATACAATAGATTCAGAAAAAATATGTGATAATGCCATGGAACTATCATTATTTCTAATTATTCAGTCAGTCATTCATATGTTTTAAAACCGCCAAGTAGACTTAGACATCTGCTTGAACATTCAGCTTGAAAGTAGTGTTTGGCCACATGACTGCTCTGAAGAAATTCATGAATACGGTGTACCCATGAGCGGACTGAAGCATGAAAAAGAGGAAGCTGATAGAACATGTTTCTAGAAAAATCCTCTGCCAAAGTCTTAAAGTATGAAGCTAACACATAATTATCCTGTACCAGTCCAGTCTACATCCCATTATTTAAACCAGTGAGCATCTAGCCTTGGGTCTGGCCAGGTGCCAGGATTTAATACTTCTTGAGGAGGGACACAGAGGACTCAGTAGCTCTTGAGTTTCTTGTTTCCGGTGAACTTCTGTCAAATATGAAACCACAACAGAAAACAAGCCTCCTCATAAAAGTAGACAAACTCAGCTGAACATAGATGGCATTCTGCCGGCGAAGGAGGAGACAGCCAGCTCTGCTCCTTTCGGAGCAGCTGATTTGAAGTGAGGAGAAACTGGGGTCCCAGATGAGGATGAGGACGACAGCTTGTAAGTAGACGCTGTGGAGCATCAAAATAAATACAGAAGGGGATTTTCAGCTGCCCTAAGGGACACGTTGTAGCTAGCACCAGTTGTGGAGTATATTGCTGTTCTGCCTCTGTTGCTTTCTAGAACCATGTATGATTCTAGCTGTCATGTAAATATACAGCATCACACTACTAGAGTTGCTTGTTTGTGTGTGTGTTTGCACCCACAAAGTCATGATGAAAATAACTGCTAGAAGAAAGTGTACTTCCTGCCCCGAGGCAGTACCCTCACAAATCGCAAATGTGTACTGAGCTGGTAAATGTCATGGTCTCAGCGGACTCCAAAGAAAGAAATGGGGCCACTTATATATAGCTTAAATATTCAGTTTCTACGCAGCACGAAATGCCACATTTCTTGTGAATTTACAGCTTTGCAAAAAGCTTTTGGCCCTGGCTTATCCCCAGTGCTTGCAGCCCACATATTTAGGGTGTTGTTGTTGCTGCTGTTTTCTTTTTCCAGTCATAGGTCCACAGTAAACGAATGAAAGCAAAGCCTTCGTTTGAGACAAACACTAAAGATGTGGGTTCAAGCTGCTCCCTGGAAATGTAGAACATGAATGCTAAGGAGAACGATGATTAAACTAGGACGGGGTATTGTCGACCACAGGGTGGGACGGCAGACCTTTCCAAGTTCTTGCTTGTGCTTTCCGGTCAGCGCACCAGACCTGCAGCCTAACACATGGAAGGTGCTTGTTTATTGCAAACACTAAATACTCATGTTGGGGAAAATGTGAGGTCAGGTTATAAGTGAAAGGAGAAAGGCTCATGGAGGTCGGGTGACTTGTTCTCACCAGCAGAGTAAGGAGACTGGCCCTCAGTCTCAGCTGCCTCTGGACATACTCCGCATTACAGCCTGTTTCAAAGGCTCCAGCTTTTCCGACCCCACCTTTGGCTGAGCAAAAGCTGAGACCTTCAGCTGTCCAACTCACTCCAGGATGGGGCACACCTACTTCTCAAAGAAATGGGTCGTATCTGTCTACTCTGTGATCCCCTTCTCTGCAGAGGCTGGTGAGGGGAGCCTCAGCATACATCCTTGGATTGTGGCTGACACGCACAGAAAGCTACCCAGAGCGAGACAAACCCACCCCAAATCTTAAGGAGGCACTTCCTTTCCTTAGACAGGGGTTACCAGTCCCGAGTGCTCTGCTTGCATCAACTGAACCCCATTTCAGCCGCAGCCCCTGCCACCTGTCTGAGGGTGTATGAAGGACAGGTGAATTCATAGTTTTCATGTTCTGGAAGAGCAGTGCCTTCCGTGCTGATGGCTCGTGCTGTATAACTCAGCATGGGTAGAACCTGGAGCAGAAGAGATTTGCCTCCAAACCTTTTAACTTGGATAACTTGTATCCCTGTCAGTCCCCAAATCAGTTCACTGCCACTTGTTTCCTCAGTATTATTCTGCCTCAAGGAAAAGTAAATGGCAAACTTAGTTACATTAGTGAACTAATACTGCTAGATTCAGTGGTGATAACCAACTCAAAGAAATAATTTATTTAAATAGGCACCATTAACTCAAAGAAGGAAATTGATTGGTTGGTTGATTGGTTGATGGATTGATTGAGTTTTTTGAGACAGGGTTTCTCTGTGTACCCTGGTTGTCCAACACTTGCTTTGCAGACCAGCTGGCCTTTAACTCACAGATATCCACCTGTCTCTGCCTCCTGAGTGCTGGGATTAAAGGTGTGTGCCACCACACCGGGCTCCAAAGGAGGAAATTTCTAGTGGAAAATTCTGAAAAGCTGTGGTAGGTTGTGTGGCCTCCTGTCAGGCATATCCTGGACCTGAGGTTGGTCTTGTGAATGGCGTCACCTGATTCCCAGCTCTTCTCAGATAAGATCATAGGCAAATGGGTTTCTACAGGACCTTAAATATTACCTACCTGAGAATCGCTGGTACAGCCAATCAAAGGCAGCCCTGGCTAACCAGGAAGCATAGGGCATCTTTGAAATGTTTTTATTCCCATATTTAAAGTGATAAATTTAAAATACACTTTAAACTGGGTTGCTAGGTTTGGTGGCTCAGGCTTATAACTGCACCACTCATGAGGATCCCCACCATACATTTGGGGCCCTCCTGGTTGGTGACAGCAGCATACATTTGTAGTATCCTGGCAGGACTACAGAGCAAAGCATTGTACAAAAGAACCAAAACACATTTAAAAAAATGAGCCTGACACTCCACCAAGGACCATCTATGGATACAACCTAGAACTTCTGCTGGGATGTGGCCCGTGGTAGCTCAGTAACCAAGTAGTTTTCCAAAGCAAGGGGAACAAGGACTATTTCTAACAGGATCTCAAGGGCAGGCTCTTTGCCCCCCCCCCCCCCAGGGGAGGAACAGTCCTGTTAGGCCACAGAGGAGGACTTTGCAGCCAGCCTTGAAGATACCTGATAAAACAAGGTCAAATGAAAGGGGAGGAGGTCCCCCCATCAGTGGACTTGGAAAGGGGCAGGGAAGAGACCAGGGAGGGAGTTGGGGAGGGGGAGGAAATGAGGGAGCGGGATACAGCTGGGACACAGAGTTAACAAATTGTAACTAAAAATAAAAATAAAATAAAAAAAAGAAAAAAATAAATAAACAAATGGTTCCAGCAAGGTCTAGTCATCAACAGCTGTAACCCCAGCACACCCAGGAGGCTGAGACTAGTCTGGACTGCTAACAAATAGTGAGTTTGATTAGAGCCTAAAC